GGGGGGGGCGGGCAGCACCAAAGGGCTCTGCAGACCCACAGCCCGGGGTCGATCGGACGCCCCGGGCTGGGCTTCAAGGATCCGTGGGAGCATCCGTGGAAGTGGGAACCTTTCTGCAGCGAGCAACCGAGCTCCCGCCGAGCCCGCCGGCCTCGGCTCTTCCGGCGGGGCCGGGGCGGGGGAGCCGGTCCCGGGGAAGGTGACCCGGTTAACGGTGGTGTTGGGGGGGGGGGATTGAGTTGGGCCATGCCGCTGCTGAGACCGGCTGCGCTTGTGACACTGATGAGGATCGCGGGGAACGGCGGGCGGCGGGAGGGAAGCGGGGGTCTCCGCCGGTGCCGGGATTCGCCGGGGGTTTTGCAGATCCCTTCGCTTTTCTCAGCCCCCCAGGGACGACGGTATTCGGCCCCCCCGCAGCCGGTGATCGCCGCCAAGCAGCCGTTCCCGGTGGAGCTGAAGGCGGGGAAGAAATACGCCTGGTGCGCCTGCGGGCACAGCAAGAACCAGGTCGGACCGGGAACCGGGGGGGGACACGGACCCCCCGGACCCCCCCCCAGGCTGGGATACACGGGGGGATGCGGACGGGGATGGGGCAGGACCGGTCTCACGGGGACCCCCCCCGGGCCAGGGGAGGGCTTTGTGGGGGGGAAGAGATGCTGTTGCCCTCCTGGGTGCTCCTGCAGCACCCCAATTCCCGGGGGATGCATGCAGCCGGGGGGGGGGAGAGGGGTCTTGGTGCAACAGCATGGTGCTTCATGCCCAGCGGGGTGCAACAGCGCAGCCCCCAGTCCAGCCAGGCACCCCCCAGCACCCCAAAATCCCCCCCTTTACCTCTTCCCCCTTTGCTTCGCAGCCTTTCTGTGACGGGGCCCACAGGAAAGCGGCGCCGGGAATCTCCCCGCTGCGCTTCATCCCGGAGGAGGACAAGACGGTCTGGCTGTGTGGGTGCAAGCGCACCCGCTCCCCCCCCTATTGCGACGGCACCCACAAAGAAGAGGCCGTGCAGAGAGCCCAGCTCTCTGCAAAACCCTGACACGGCTGCACCCCACAGGGATGGAGGTCACGGAGCCCACGGGAGCTCGGGACCACGGGGATGTTGAGTCCTCTCTTGGGTTTGGGAGGAGATGCTTGGCTCCCACCCCAATTAACCTTAATTACTGAGCTCTGAGGGCTGCCACCAGCTGCAGCAAACCAGCCTCACCCCACCACGGGGGCAGCAATTTTGCCTTCTGCTTGGCTGGGACCCTGCCAGGGATAACGAAGGCTCAGCATTGGCTGGGGAAAAAAATAATCCACTGGATAATGGGACTTTCAGGAGTGGGTTTGCATTGCCAGAGCTGTGGGTGCCCACCGGGATGCAGGACAGAGGGACCCGGGCGGATGCATCTGTACAGGCGGACGAAGGGAATGACAGTCTGCAGCATTTATTACATTTACAAAGCTGTATAGTTATACAAATGTTTAACCAATAACAATATATGAATATCAGAATATATTACAAGACATTAAAACATCATACAGGATGCAAACATACAGAGCAATTTGGTTTGTACCATATAGGAAAAAACAGAAAACAAAACAACCCCCCCCAAGAGCCCCACACAAACCCCAGACCGAGGCACTTCAGCTGCCTCCCTCAGTCCATTTTGGCCTATTTACAAGGAGAAAAGGGGTGTCAAAGTCGAGACAAATGCAGCCCCCCAACACGTTTCGAGCCCCTCGTCCAGCCCCAGCCCGGGGATGGGGAAGAGAGAAACAAAAGGGGCCCCGCGGGGACCTTCCCGGGTCCCATCCCCAGTGCCCGGCGGGCAGCAGAGCCCAGGGCTGTGCTATAGCGAAGGTGCCACTGTCAAGTCCGTGATGGGGGTGCAAGTACTTAAAAAAAAAAAAAAAATCATTAAAAAAAAAATTTAAAAAATACAATAACAACATCCCATGTTTCCTGACCTTTGGAGTTGGGCTGTTCATACAATTCCCGTGCCGCTTTCCTTTGGTTCTCACCGTGCCGTCGTGGGCGGCCGTAGCCGCTGCCTGGCCATGGGGTGCCATCCGCGCACTGCAGGCACTTGCTTATTTTTTGTCATTCACCCCCTTCCCCAGCAAGGGTAAGAGAGAAACCCCCGGGGTCTGTGCTCCCCGGGGTTCATGTGCTTTTTTTTTTTTTGTCAATGTACAAAGTTGGTCCCTTCCCCGGAGCACGCGGGCAGCCGGCAATACCGGTGCCGCGCCGCTCCTGCCCAAAATATGGCAGCACTTTCCCACGCTTGCCCCTCACCGAAGCCTCCTGGCTAAAGGCACTGTAGTCTTATTTTTTTTATTTTATTTTTTTAAAAACCCAATGTGGGGACAGGAGAAGGTAGGAAGGACAGGGGGGAACAAAAATAAATGCTCTGAAATGTGGCGTTGAAGCCATGGAGGTGAGTGGGGAGCCAGCAACGTGGGGGTCCTGTGCACCCCCTCCCTGCCTGGGCAGGGCAGTGGCATTTGAAGCCCCTGGGTTCCACGCAGACTCACCCAGTGCTGCCAAAGCAGCCCCCAACCATTTAGATGCCCCCAGCCAAAATTTCCCATCAGCGTCCAGAGCTGTTGGCACCCAGCGCTGCCCGTCTGCCCCGGGGAGGAGAAACCAATATTCAGTGGGGCTTGTGCTCCCACCCCCGGTACGGCTGGCCCTTCACCACCAAGTTGCAAGCATAGTTTTTTTAAGCTGGGGGGAAAAAAACCAAAAAACAAACTACTTACTGTGCATAAAGGGAAGCGTCTGTGTGAGGCTTTGCTAGATCAGAGCCTGAAACACCATCCAGAGACCACACAGGGAAAGCAAAAAAGAGACAGAAACGTGTACGGCAAGGCAAAGCTAAGGGGGGGCAACACTGGCAAGTGATGCTCGATGCCAACAAATGGACCACTGGTCCCAGCTGGCCACAGGCTCCACGTTATCAAACCTGGTGCCATAGAATCCCCAACTAAACACAAAAAAGCAAAAAATCACAGGGCATGGCGGGGCTGGGGGGCAGTTTTTTGGCTTCTGTGCTTGGCCCTTACCTGTGCTTGGCCCTTACCTGTGCAGCCGGGAGTCCACGCTCACAGCCCCGTCTCGCTCCGAGCAGGCGCGAGGGGAGAGGGATGGGGAGGAGAGTGAAAAGCGTTAGAGAAAACGAGCAAGGAAGGCGGCAGCGCCTGCATGGCTCCCAGCTCTGGCATGCAGCTTACATAAGTTAAAACAAAAATTAAAAAAAAAAAACAAAACAAAAAACATTTAAAAATATTCAACCACATTTATGTGTCTTATCTGCATTTTAAATTAATCTGGTCAATCAATAGAAAATAAGTATGTATAATTTTTTTTTCTCCCTATGTACACATATATATTTATATATGTATATATATAATATATATAGATATATAAAACCCAGCCAGGAGTCCCTGTTTCGTCATTGTTTAGGTCAAGGCGGAGGCCGTGCTGCCATTGACAGTCGTTTTGCGGCACCGGCTGGCGGCGGGCGGCAGCGGGTGGCAGTTCGAGGTGCCGTTGAGCGCGGTGCCGGTACCGGCGGGGCCGCTGCCGGCGGTGGAACTGGGCGAGCCGTGGGATGGGGTACCGGGACTGGGCAGGGAGGAGGAGGTGGCGGGCAGCGTGGCGGGGCTGTGGGCTTTGTCGCTGACCGACTCGCACTCAGAGGCGCCGCTGGTGTTGGTGCACTCGGAGGTGGCCGGCTGGGACAGCTTGAGCCGTTTGCAGGCGGGTTGGACGCGGTATTTCAGCGGCAGGGGCCCGTTCTGCAAGCGGGAGAAGGGCAGACGCATGGCACCCGGCAACCCGTGGCACCCCGTGCCACGACGGCACCGGCGTGCACCGCATCACCGGCTGCCCACGGTGGCAGCACGGCCGGGTGCTGGCCACCAGCCCTCCTGCCTGCCCTGGAGAAAGGGGGAGAAAAGCAGGTGCAGCCCCCCCGGCCTCCTAAAAAATCACATCTGGAACAAACACCTTGGTAAGGAGGGGGCATCCAGGGTTTTAATTTGTTGAAGTGCTCAAATTTTTAAGCTCTCCAATTTTTAAGCTTTTCAATTAAGTTTTTTCAATTTTGTAATTTTTAAGTAAGTTCTTCAATTTTTTTCAGTTTTAAAGCCTTTTAATGATTTTAGCCTTCCCCTAAAGGACTGCTTTTCCGAGCTTTTCTCCGAGACAAGCCCCAGTGCCGGTGCCCACGGCAGGGAAGGAGGCAGTTCCGCTTACCCTCCTCCAGGGATAGATGTAGGCAATGTCCATCAGGGTGTAATACTCCTTGAGGGGCTCGTCTTCGTAGAGGACTTCCACCTGGGGCAGGGGACAGTGTCAGTCCCCCGACACGAGGGCAGAGGCACAACCAGCCCCCCCCCAGAGCTGCTTATGGGGCATCGGGGCTTTTCCATCCCCGAGTGCCTCTCCCAGAGCAGGGGTCTGCCAGGGCTCCCAGCACTGCCCTTGCCAGAAACTGGAGCAAATTCAGTTTACATGCAACACGCCATAAGGGACGGATCCTGCCCCAGCGCCCACTCACTGGGGAGGCAAAGCCTGGGCTGCACAAAGCAGAGCCGTGATATTCAGGACCAAGAAAAGCACGGCATATTTGCAGCGTGGGATGCAATATGGGATGGCCAAAATGGCATCGGCCCCTCTGAGCCCACCAGAGTGCACCGAAAGCCGGGCAGCGAGCGCACCCCAGGGACACGCTCACCTTGTACTTGCTGGGAACGTCCATCTTGTTGCGGAGGAACTTGGCCAGGTGCATGACGGTCATCGCGGCGGGACAGCGCAGGAACCGCACCCCGTTCTTCTGGGGACGCAGCGGGAGGGGGCCGGGGGGAGAGGCGTTGCTGAGAGTCCGCCATGCAATTAATGGGCAGTTCCCACCTCCTTCAGCAGACGGTTTGGGGGTGCCCTCCGGTCCGCCCCCACACCCCAAAAGCCCAGGAGGCAGCTGGACATGGAGCTCTCCATGCCATGGTCCCACCACACTCACCTTCTCCTTCTCCAGGTCCCCATTCTCAACGGTCCCTTTCTTCTCCTCTCTGGGGGGAGGAAAGCAAACACAGGACAAAGTTTATGGAGGAATAACAAGGCGGAGAGGAAAAATAACCCATCAGAAAGGCCATCCATGGAGCGGCTGCAAGGGGAACATCCAGTGACCTTCAGCCAAGCTCTGGCTTGGCCACCCCGACCATGTACATGCCCAAGCTGCTGCATTTCCAATCCAGCACGCTGCAACCACTGCCCGGGCTGCCGCCTCTGAACTGAACTGCTGCTCCAGATGCCAATCACATCCTTGGAGGCCACCACCGGCACCAGGGATGCGGCAGCCCTTGGGCTCTGCTGCCTGGGAAGGAGCCTTGCCCTGCCTGCCCGGGGAGCGGTGATGCGGGGACCCCACTGCCATAGCAAGCACCCACGGAGGATGCAGGATGGGGAACCAGAACAGATGGGTTTTGGGTTGCTCCTCCGTCCATTCAAGAACCCCAGGAGACACTGAGCTCCAAGCAGGGGCTGTGTCAGCCACCACCACCTCACATCTCAGCTCCGTCTCCAGAGCGGGAAGAGAGGACGAGAGTTTATTCACAACCCCAAACCCAGGCAGAGGCTTAGGAGCAGCCAGAAAAAGGTACCTTGACCCTTCGTAAAACTCTATGGACAGGCTAACGATCTCATCATCCGTCAGGTTCCCCTTGTCCTGCTCGGAGACTTCCCCGCGATCTTCATTGGACCCATTGGGGACTGCGGGAGCAGAGGGAGGGAGAGGCTGAGCCGTTGCGGGGAGGCACAGCCAGGGTGAGGGGGGGTCCCCGGGGCTGACACTTACCCTCTGCCATGGGGTAGGCTGCGTAGAAGTCGCGCCGCCTCTTCATCTCATCTGTGGGAGAAGGGAGGAGGAAGGTGAGGGGGGAAAAAAATCACACCAAGGGGGAGATGGGTGCAAAGAGGGGAGCAAGAGGAAGCCCCGGACTGCCAAGCGCCTGCTCCCCGCCGGCAGCTCGAGCACGAGCTGCCTGGTGCAGACGGACCCGTAGGAGAGCAGTCGCTTTAGCGAGAGCAATCAAGTCGTACCAGTAAAACCCTTGGAGCGGCTGCAAATCTGCTGCTGTGAGAATGCCTTTATGGCGGCTCGACTGTCCTCAGTCTTTCCACACCTGCAGACCCCCACACTTTTTCCCCCGAGGATGGGCAGGCACTTGGAGAGCAAATCCACGGCTCCTGCTCCCAGCTTTGCTTTTCGTGGTTCCCCCCAGCAGCAGCCCCCGGGCTGCCGGAGTGTGGGATGGGCACTATCCGGACGGACCCATCCCTGTCCATTCACACCATGCATTTTCCTGCTGTCCCCATTACACGGGCAGGGGCGTGCGTGGGCAGTGCAAAATCCGGGGGACCGGTTTCACTGGTGGGTGGGAGCGAGTTACAAACAACCCCAAACCCACACAATTATAATTGTCCATGGCTGTACCTTTGAAAAGCCCCGGGACCAGTTTGTACACTATGTCCTGTAGGGTTTTGTCCGACCTGGGGGAAAAAAAGAAATAGGAAAGGAGAGAGAAATCAGCTGGATTAGGGAACAGCTTGCTTCCTCGGGCTGCTGAAAGCTGCCCTGCACCATGTGCCCCTGGCCAGCCCAAATGGCACTTCCCACACCTCCCTCCTGGGAAACTCCCAGCACAAAGCCCCAACTCTCCATCCCATGGCGATGCCACAACCCTGTCTCGCAGGCAAACCTGTCCGCCCTTGCGCTCACTGCAAAGGGTTAACTCTGGAAAAAAAAAGAAAACCATTTCAAAAATCCTTGTAATTGCTAGGGATGATGACAGCAGGATTTGGGGGCCAGGATCCATTTCAGTAGTCAAAATGATTACAAAAACACACCGAGAACTTAAAAAAAAAAATATCTAAGATCAGCAAATGTTTCTGCAAGTTTTAATTTGCATCTAATTTTATTTTTGGACTTGGCTGCAGTTCAGGGCTCAGGCTTTCATTTCCCTCTTGTAAGGATGTTGTAAGGATGGCAGGATAGTGTCCACTGTCAGGTTGCTATACAGGAAAGCAAAGTGGACTCCCTAAACTGTGAACATCTCAAGGTAGGATCTTCTAATGCACTCGAGGAACTGGAGAAGCTCGAGTCCCATCCTCAGCACAGAGCCAGGAATGGGATTGTGCTGAAGGCTTGGGCTCGGGACCCTGCAGGCAGGGCATCTGGCACAATTTAAAACCAGCAGCTCAGCCGAATAAAAAAAAAAATCTCAAAAACAAAGCAAGAGCACTGGGACTGGTGAAAAAGTAAATTATATCTGCAATTATTTCCATTTTAATAGTAAGGCCTTTATTTTAAAGAAAAACAAATGACCGTACCCTATATTATTTTTAGCCTAGCCGTGTCTTTTATCCCTAATTCCTCGGTGATGTCACACTGGTTCATGAGGCCCCGCTGTGATTTTATTTATAATACATACCCAGAGAATTTGCTTTATAATTTACAGCAAGCTAATGAAAAAGCAACCTCAGCCGCTTGATTGGCAGCTTAATTACCAGCCGGTCCTTGCTCTTGCATGAGTCAACCCCATTCAGCCCAGCACAGTGGCACTGGGTGGTGGCCGGGGGGCCACGGGGGGGGGG